CATATATTATATATTTATAGCAAGTGGGAGCTTTTATTTCATTCATCAAATTCTAGAAAATTCTCTTTCTCAGTGGTAAATGGTTTTGTTAACTGTGTTTTCACTGTAAAAGTAAGTTTTGTTTTCAAGTCTATGATCCACCTCTCCTCTCCTTTTCCCATAATTAATTCCTTTCATTTTTTTTTACAGGTGACAACATTGACATCGTTAAACGACACCTATGGGTTCAATGTTTGTTCAAGACTGCTGTGCATAAATAGATAAGCGCAAAGTGTTTGTTGTTGTTGTTGTTTTCTCGCGTCGTTCCCTCTAGAAGTAAATAATTTGTTTTGCTTATTGTTTTATGGTGGCTTGAATGGCTTTGACCCTGAACAAATGTCTCTAACCATAAACTGTCAATTTTGTAATTTTCCTCCATTATGTTAAAGTTTTCGCGATTATGCCGTTTTTTGCGTAAAATCAAATTTGTAAAACAACAATTTTCAGGCGCTTTGAACAATGGTTTCGTTTGTTTTGGTGGAAGCCGAGACACAAGAAGTGCTTATGAATCTCATACAGCACCTAGTCAGTAATGCTTTATCTCCTTTTAAAATTTTCGAATATTTTTCTTCTCATCAGGCTGCGAACTCGCTGAAATTTACTGTTGCGTCCGATCTTCGACGTCTTTTTGCTCGTACCTACTTGGACGTGGAAGGTACTGGTGCTGCAGATGTCTCTTCATCTAGTGAGAATGTACCACCAACAAGGTGAGTTTCTAGAGAAATTGACTTTGAATGGTTTTAAGGCATCTGCAGTTTCTTATTTAGACCTGAAGTGGCAGCAGTTAGCGCAGTAAACACTTCACAACAATTCCATAACGCGGTGTCAAATTTGTTCGGATTAGTCCCGAAACCAGAACCATCTGAATCCACATTTGCGCAATGGGCTAATGTCTCGGGAAACGCTGCACCTGTTGAGGTAGACTTCACTTTGGCTTGGCTATTTATCTATTCTTTAATTTATTTATTATACTTCTGGTCATTTATCCATCCAATCATTCATTTTATTCATCTTTCCATTCTTTTTTCCAATGCTTAATTTCTTTTTTTCCAATTCTTTGTATTCAGTCAATGCATTCCGATCTGTTGTGTGCCGCGTCTCCATATTTGGATAACTATCAAACAGCCTCAACTCTAGAATCGCGTGCTCATCAAATGTTCGCTTCTGAAGGAACATCCCGGGGAATTAAACGTCCATGGACTCACCAAAATGCGGTAGGGAACATTTTCA